TCAAAAGACTCATGTCGATTTCAGTTATCACTGGTCGACGTGGCCACTTGAAATTTTGATGAAAAACTGACATTATTTTTTAAAAATCTCGAAATCTCTAGCAGTTGTTAGGCCAATCTTAGTGGACAAACCAGCCATGGGTATGGGTAATATACCCTATAGAAATCGTCAAGTTTGATTAACAACTGCAGGAGAACCATACGAGACCATTTTTTCCGTGCAAGCGGTACAAATGGCTTGCAATTCACTCATATATAAGATATTGTGACAAAACTAAATGCTTAGTTTATTTGTAAGTGAAGAGCAAGCGATTTCAAGTGCAACTATTAAAAACGAAACAAAAGAAAGAAAATATTTTTATGTACCTCTTGCTTGTTTGCTCTTCAAATTAAAAGCAGAAATCGAAATCTGAATTAAAGCAGTTAGAAATAAGCTAGTTTGTTATTTTATGAGAATGTGTTATCGAAAGAAAAAGCTACGAGTACGTTTATGTGAGTGGTGCAGAAAGTAATGTGTCCATTAAAATCGTCGTTTCACACATGAGAATAGAATCTACAATAGCGAAGAAGTATGGCCTCAAAACATCTATCGTACTGAATCAAACATGTTGTGAATCGAACATCGTGTTCAAGGTATTAAATTTAAAACGATGAAACCGGAGGATATACGATAGAACTATATCGTATTTATAAGGCGAATACACACACGTGCTGCGCTTAAGTGTCTCTACTTACCTTTCTTTACCTTATTTGTGCAGTAAATTATTACATTTTCAACGAATATTGGGATTCTCAAAAGGGGAAAAGTTTTACAGGTTTTTTTATGGACTAATACTGTGAAAAATCGTTCATTATACAATATAATTGCGCTGTTTGGTTTTATCACGTTTAGATACTTAGACTTCTCGCTACAACTTGGTTGTTGTTAGAGTTATTCGCTACTTAAGCTACCACGAGTGCTTTCGACCTTGCTTTAGGGTCTCATCAGGTGGATGTTACGGTGCCATTCGAAATGATCAAGAACGACGTGATCAAGAACGACGTAATCATAAAACGACACCCTCTAGAATCTACGGTGCATGAATTCTAGAGCCAAAAAAGGTCTAGATTGTGAAATTTTGTTCTTCTTAGACCTGGTCAGGTCGAGAGCGAGTGTCTACGGGCGGAGATACGAATACCAGACACCCGAGAAATTGATAAATCATATGTGCACCTCTGAACGCATTGGGACAAACCCAGTTCATGTGCATCATGTCCTTACATACCGGTTGATCTGGCGACCTAGTAATATCGAGTCTCGACTAGCTGTGACTCAGACTCGAGACTCAAACGGGATTTACACCTTAACCTATCTCCGATCTAGTCCAGTTTCGAAGACTATCATTTCGAATGGAACCGTTAGCGCAGGAACTAGCTATACTCGAGCATCACAAATGTCTCCGATACTGCGTTTTAAACCATAATATTACACACGAGGTCAATGAAGTTATGAGGTTTGCACTCCGAGACATTTCAGTATTCCTCCAGCATATTTATTGAAAAAACACAGAATTTCTCGCGCAACAGTGCCTAAGAAGTAAATGTTTTAGGGTAGTTCTGTTGCGGCCTCCACAAGTGTCACCTTCTGAAGGTGTCAATAAGAGCTAAGCTGGTTGATACGTGCCAGTAAACAATTAATGAAACAACCCCCAAGCAATTGTAACTGCAGAATTTCGCTACCACAGACTTGGGAGTGCTAACTGCTATCCATTTCAAAGAACGGTGCACTCGGTTGTAAGTTGAATAACTCGAGAATGAAAGCAGCTGGAGACTTGTGGTTTTCAGCATTCGAAAGAGAGTCATATTTTTTATATGAAAATATCAAATCTGATTGGTCAAAACTAACCAATCAGGAGAATTCTTGATGAACATTTTAAATTACATTATTCGGAATCAGCATACAAAGCTACGTCGAGTGACATATCTTTAATCTTTATTTGATGACTTTCATTTTTTCACCATGTACATGCCATGATCTACAGGGCGCTATGATAATTTAGTGACAAAAGTGAGAAAAAATGAACGTCATCAAATGAAGATTAAAGACATGTCACTCGATGCAATTTTGTATGCTGATTCCGAATATGCACTTTGTTCGGCGATTTGACTTCGATGAAGGGTCGAAAAACCCCGAAAACCAGTGAAAATGCCGTTTGAGGCTTTTGGAAAAATGCGTATAACTCCTGAACAAAACACGCTAGCGGACTCGGTCTTACACAGATCGAAAGAGAACAATTTTCTCTATCGAATGATCATGTTAAAACTCTAAATCCAACGCTAAATGCCTTCGGAAGATTGTTTTTAAAATGTTCATCAAGAATTCTCGTGATTGGTCAGTTTTGACCAATCAGATTTGGTATTTTCATATAAAAAATGTGACTCTCTTTCGAATGCTGGAAACCACAAGTCTCCAGCTGCTTTCATTCTCGAGTTATTCAACTTACAACCGAGTGCACCGTTCATTGAAATGGATAGCAGTTAGCACTTCCAAGTCTGTCTCTGCAGACCCCTCTTCTAGGTCTGTTAAAATATAAGCGCCAAAAAATTAAAATTAATGACATCGGGGCGTTTTAGCCGTTCTGTGAAAAAGGATACATATTTTCGAAAAAACAGTTTTGCTTTGTAGCTAGATATGCACCGGTATGTTCGAGAGTACCGATACCGAAAACACCGAAGACATCAAAAAATTTTCAGCGCAGGCATTTTCGAACCAGTATATACCCAAACATGAAACCTCACAAGGGAAAAGCTAGCTGGTCTTGCTGAACAAGCAATCACTTGTCGATGGAGTGCAACCGTCCCTTACAGAGATCTCAGTGAATGAAGATCAAAATATTTAGCGTTCTTCACCGAGCTGATCTCCATTTTCTGTGACTTTCACAGTTTTCAAAAGAATGTGATAGTCAGAATCACAAACTGTATTTCTGACGAGCTGGACTTCCCGCTATACAGGAGAAAAGTGCGATTATTTTCTTTGCTTGTTGACGAACAGCGATTTCTAAAACACCAGAAACTTATTCAAATATCAAATATGATGATATTTATATTTTTCAAAATATAAATAGCGTTATATTAAATATTCTTTTAGAATACAATTTTTTGATATTTATATTTTTGTACTTATATTGTCACAGGCCTAGCTGCGGTGTATGTAAATAAATATAATTTGATTTTTCTGTGATCTACACATTGAAAAACGAAAGATGTCAATGAGTTTTAAACCATATTTCACTGTCGTTCTGTTAACTATGCATCCAACGTGTTTTTGGAACGACAAAGTTTTTAATTTCTGATTAATAATTTACGGAAAAAGAAACTATTAAAGTTTTCTGATGTTTAAAACTGAGACAAGTAATTCATATTCCTTCTTACTGCGATATTTTATATTCCAAGTCATGCTCTTCTTCAAATTTCAGCAATAAACGCGACGGGTGAGAAACGTCTGAAGACGTTCTAACTACGATACTTTTGTTTAGATGTCATCGCGACAAGTTACAGAAGCGTTTGTAGAGTCGAAGCGTTTTGAGTTCGAAGAAATCTACATGCAGAAGTTACCGCGGCGAAAACTAGCCTCGCCGATCATGACAACTGTAAAGAGCCTCAAAAAGCCGCCTGGAAGTGTAGACAAGGCGGATAGTCAAGTAGTAGAGATCGAACAACCAAAGCCACCGACGCCTTCTTCGCCGCCAAACCCGGTTAGAGAGGCGTTTGTGGCTCCATTCGTAAAAACTCAGATGCAGCGGTATTCTCTCCGAAAAGAGCCAGTTCACCCTAGACCAATCGGGCGGAAAATCAGACCACCACGTACAATAATACAAAAGCCAAGCATTGTTAATATACGGGTTTTGCGGATTAAAAAACCGATGCGATTGCAACGGCGGACGGCACTGGCAGAACGAGATTCGAAGCTAGAAAGGGACTCGGATTCTGAAATGGAAACAATTAACTTGCGACAGTTGCCACTAAAAGCAGATCCGCCCATAGGAACTATAAAGCAAGTCACACAACAGCTCCTAGTCATCGCCGAAAATGAAGAACCATTACTAGCTACGCCAAAACCGGACCATGAAGCCAAATTGGTGCAGTCAATTTCTCTGAAGCAGCCTCCGCCGAAACCAGTTCTGCCGATGACAACTATAAAGGAGGTCAAACAGGCGCCTAAAATATTAGAAAAGCCAATCGCCGTCATAAATCCGGTGGTGAGTGAACTCATTTCTTAAAGGTCCCCTGAATAAAATGGAAGTATCTTGAATTTTGTCGCAAATGAAAGGCCAAATCGTCCGAATGCGTCCACAAAATGTCGAGATTTTGAAAAAGATGTTTCTAAAAAACCTGACTCCTCAGATATCCATAGGTCTCGAATTGCGTCGATGTTACTTTGGAGACACCAGTCGATAGTTCGTTCAACTGCAAATGTTTGTGGCGCTCCTGCTAAATAAACTGTAATGTTAATCTCAGAATGAGTCCAAAGTGCCCTTGCAGCTAAAATATTATGCAGTACAAATTACATCTTTTCGCCACATTACATTGGCGTCAGATAAATCTGAGAGGTGTGTTGTACCGTTCAGGACTTACGGGTGTGTGGAATGGTATGTTTAAAAAAATTTCAGCGCTCTCTAGGACTTTGCAGGATTTCCGAGAAGCCATTCGTTAGTCTGAAGCTAATGTGGTAAGTTTTATTAATCAATCTAGATAAAACTCATGGTGGTCATTCATTTCAAGTCAAACTCAAGGCTTTAGGTGAGCGATCTTAGGTGCTAGAAGTTTTAAGCAAAGGTCGTTTGTGCTGCAAAACACTAAAAGATCCTTTCTGCAGAAAAAATAAAATGCCTCTAATTTCTTTTTCCAAAAACCAATGAAACCTACGGTTTTCATCATCGGCAACAAAGAAAACGAAATCAAAAAATAAGTATCTCGTCATTTGCGCACTGAGTCGGTATAGCGACGGTAGGCTTCATACGGATTTTCGTCCGTATAGACTGAACAACGATCACCAACACAATCACCAACCCCATCGCCGCCGCCAAAACCGGATCCTAAACCGGATCCTAAACCGACAACCCAGATTAATACGGATATTGGCCATTTACCCGAGACACCATAGAACTCGTAAGTTTCGCTTTTTCTAAGATTATGCTGCAATCATTAAATATTGCTATTTATTCTGAATATCAAGAGTCGTTCCATCATACAAGAAAGTCCTCACAAAAAGACGAGTCCGATTGGTGATGTTGTTAATTGCCTTCACTGGTTTAGTTGCAGTTGTTACCGGCATAGTTGTAGCTATACGGAGTTCTCCATCGAAACGTACAGTTGAAAATTTGCTGACATCAACTAGTAAGTGTTCAAGCTACCCGAATTCCCAAGAAAATAAATTTCCAGAATTTCGCTCCAAAATAGTGGTTGTTCCAGAGATGAACCAGTCCTTATAGAATGTATTTTTCTTGAAGTTAACACGCATTAATAAACTGTACTTTTAAAACCGTCGAAAAATCGTCACAAAAGCATTTCTTAACATCTATCCAGCAAAATTCAAACGTTCTTCACACACCAGCTCATAACTTGTCTACAGAGAGTGCGGTCATACGCCAGTTGCCGGCAGACTTAGCTCAAAATAGTAAAAATGCTTTGGGATTGAGAAACAAGTACGACAGAGTGTGCCTTTTTTTTCCTACCGTATAAATGTCTCTATCTCGAAATATTCTTTCTCTGCAGGTTCAGGAGAAAGGTTACATAGCGGACTAAAAGACCAAAATTCTCCCGGCGATAAATTGTTTTTTGTAAAATATTAAATAGGTTTTAGGAAATCATTACGAGCATTATGAATGGAACACCGAGCCGCTTAGCGGTCCTTTAGAAAACGAGTCTCTAGAGGAACCTATTTTACTAGCAGATATCCTAATTCTGTGTCCCCCACTGAAAACCGCCAAAAGTTGCATTGAATTCAAAAACTTTTAGCGCTCTAAAAATTAATCCTTTGTAATTCAAATAACCTTCGACACTGTTATGTAACCCTTTACCACAAGTTAAAGCCTGTTATTTGACAATCCCTCCAAAAAATCAAGCTGCAGTTCATAAATCCTCAGATTATACACAAAATTCTAACGTACAAGACGGTCAGTTAAGAACTGGCCGATCACTATGAAAAAGCAGTTACACCGAAAACTGCGTCTCCAGAAACTAATTCTAAGAAACAGAAACGCCAGCTCTCCCTTTCACAATTGTGATAGAAATCGCAATAGCGCATAACTTATAAACCTCTTGGTTGCATAGAAAAAAAGGAAGCATCAGTCGGCAAAATGCCGCTGCAGTTAAAAAAGATCCTATGGAGACAATGCACTAACTCAGAAACACACGCGTACAACACTCTCAGATTTCCGGACCTGCATTTATTAACTAACCCCGTATTCCATTTCTAATCTAGCGACAACAAACACGAATGACAACAGTGTAATTCTTGCACCATCTACGACACTCTATGAGTCAAGTCCAATACAATTTTATATCTATGGTGCAAACGGTATTCAGAATGCAAGTAATATTATTTGGAATTCCACGATACCGTTTGCAGTTATCAGTACAAATATTGACAGCACTGGCAACAATGTTACTGTTCTGATTGAATTTTACGCTAGTAGAAATGGAGTACTTAGTGCAACATACGTAAATTCAAATGGATCTTTAGAAACGTTAACACTAAATATTATTGTCAATCCACCGATCAACGGTAAATGGAAAAAACGGGTACTTCATAGTTATTCTCTTGCCTTTTCCTAGTATTTCTCTGGAGACATTTCTAAACCAACCATCATACGACTCAGTAGTCAAAAACCGTATCCTTGAAATAAGTCAACTTTCTGAAGGTACGCCTAGATATACATTACTAAAAACAACCCACAACAAAACGAACCACGAGAACCTGCTAACAAAACTCATGCAAAAACTAACCGACTGCTTTTCGGCAACAAAGCAGTTGCGTTCCTCGCACATCTGATTTGTCACCAAAACGTGTGCATCAGCTTCGGCTCGCCTCAAACAGGTTTTCTACGTAATCACGAGAATTATTTATAATGCTTCGGAGAGCAACCCGGAGTTGAGCTTAGATGCAGAAATGCAGAGAATCACGTTTTCTTCAATCTTTGAGCTAGCGATATCTCTTTGCATGTCTCTTAGAGCAGGGATAAGTGTGGTTGGGCTTTTTCAGCACACATCGGTACATCGAAGTGCAGTATTTGTTTGCGAGACTCTTGTAGTCGTCCTATAGCTCAATTTATTTATATGAAATATTAACAGAGCGGTGAATGTTTAGAGGCAAGGAAAACCAGAGTATTAGACTTTGTCGAGATTGAATACAATGGTGATAGATATCCTCTTACCTGTACCAAATTCTTATAGACGGTAAACTATCTCTGTCTTTAGGTACTACTACAACGTCCGTCACTACCTCTACCACGTTCACTACCTCGTCGACGACAGCAACTATGAGTAAGTAGTAGAAACTTTACTATGATAGTTTGGCGTTGCCGCAACCTCAAATTTCAAAAAGTTGCTGCAATCTAAAATTTAGATACCTACCGATACCTACTCATACCTACTGATCCACTTTACCAAACTAAGCATGAAAATGCAGGCTTGCATGGAAAGGGGTGTGGCAGTATGAGAGTCAGTAACCAAACAACACTGGTACAATCAACTGTCGGTACCGGTACGACTGAATAGGTATGAGTTGATGTGGGTAAGTATGAGAAGATATGGGTAGGTATCCGTAAGTACGAGTACGTACCAGTAGGTATGAGTAGGATAGAGTAGTATGAGTAGGACTGAGTAGGTAATAGCTATGCGTTGGTACGGGTAGCTATGAGTAGGTATGAGTAGGATTGAATAAATAATACGTAGGTACAGGTAGGTATGGGCAGGTACTGGTACGTATCAGTAGGTATGAGTCGGTATGCATAGATATGGGGAGGTATGAGTAGGAATTGGTAGCTATGAATAGGTACCAGTAGGTAAGATTAGGTACGTGCAGGTAAATGGTGGGTATGAGTATGGGCAGGGCTATGGGCAGATATCGGTTGATACGAGTAGGTACGACTAGGCATGAGTAGGATTGAGTAGGTAATAGTTATGAGTAGGCATGAGTCAGTACGCGTAGATATGGGTAGGTACGAGTAGATATGCGTGGGTATGGGTAGGTATAAGTAGGATTGAGTAGGTATGAGTACGTATGGCTAGGTACTGATACATATCAATAGGTATGAGTAGGTACGAGTAGGATTGAGCAGGTAATAGTCATGAACAGGTATGAGCAGGTTCGCGTAGATATAGGTAGGTATATGTGCTAGTCTGCTTTTGCTTTTCTTGTGCGTTTTTGACGCATATGAATCTTCCCTATTCGTTTCTTTTTCGTGGCTTTTAATCATATATGTGAGATATAAAAGGTTTAGTAAAAGAGTCGCTGGGTTGGAAAAACTGTAAAAATATTTCAGGTCATTGAATAAATCACATTAAAACAGGAAAAAAGAATTTAAAAATACAAATAATATAAATTTCCTAATAAGAAAAATCAACGAACAGAACCATACAGAAAGGAATGTGAATTGAGATGCAAAGATGGGCTTATTTCGTAAACAAATTTTATAGAGAGCCAAAAATAGAGTAAGAGAAGCAGTCCTTTCGAGAATAAGTCTAAAAAATGTGTCTTAAGACGCATTTTTTGCGAAGAATTCTCCAGCATGTGATTTTCTCTTTCATATGCTGCTATATGTCCGGTTCTGACTCACCCCAACCCAACTTTCGAAAGTATGGTTACGCGAGGCTTCGAGCGCAAATCGTGTCATCGAACTAACTAAATTCCTATAAACTTAGCGCTGGAGCAGTTTAGCATCAGCAATATGCTTGTAATACTAAACAAGTCATTTTAATTCGAAATTAAGCTTTTTATAATAACAAGTATAAATCGCAGCAAACGCAAAAAAAATGATCAAAATAGTACCATTTCGACTCGTATCATATGAAATCATACGACACGATCACGTACAATCTTTACCATTTTTAGCATATGATTTTGCACGAATCATACTCTACGACCTCATACGAAATACCTGACCGACATATAATCAGACCCACACAAAAATCATAGTATAAGAAATCATATGATGCTACCCTACGAATCATATCACTTCTTACGTCTCGTACGATCTTGTAGGTATAAGTAGGTAAGCGTTCGTATAACCAAGTAAGAGTTGTTACGAGTATGGGCAGGTACTGGTAGGTATGAGTAGGTACGAGTATGGGCAGGTATGGTTAGCTACGAGTGGGTATGAGTAGGATGGAGTAGGTATCAGAAGGTATGAGTAGGTATGGGTAGGTACGAGAAGCTACGAGCAGGTATCAGTAGGATTGAGCGGGTACGAGCAAATATGGGTAGGTACAGGTAGGCACGCGTAGGTGTGCATCAGCTTCGGATTGTTCCTCTCAGTCTGTCCTCTTACCTGTACAAAACGGTTGTAGACGGTAAACTATCTCTGTCTGCGACAACGTCCGCCACTACCTCTTCAACGACCGCAACCACGAGTAAGTAGCTGAAACTTTACTAGTATCGATGCCAAAACACAAGGCCGTCATTTAGCCTTTAAGTGCTTTTTATAAAAAGGAAACTCTTCGAGTCTTCCTATAGCTCAATGTATTTATAGAAAATATTAAGAGAGCGGTGAATGTTCAGAGGGAAGGAAAACCGGAGTATTACGGTTTCTCGAGAGTTAATACAATGGTGATAGATATTATTGCTCTCAGTCTGTCCTCTCACCTGTACGAAATTCTTATAGACGGTAAACTATCTGCGTCGTTAGGTGCTACTCCAACGGCCGTCACTAACTCTACCACGCTCACTACGTCTTCAACGACAGCAACTGCGAGTAAGTAGCGGAAACTGTACTAGTATCGACGCCATAATACAAGGCAGTCGTCTAGCTTTGCCGTGCTTTTCATAACAAAGAGATAGAGGCAAAGGGGATAGAGAAAGGTTCTTAATATCGAATAATAATAATAATTAATATCGAAGCGCAATTAAGAATTTGGTAGGAGGACAGACTGAGAGCAGCAATA